TGGGGGGCTCGTTGGTCCTGGGGCAGGGGCTGGGACGGGGGTAGGGGTGGGAACGGGAGCTGGAGCTGGGGCAGGGGGCCGGGCCATGCGAGTCCAGCGTTCCAGCAGGCTGCGGTCATTGTCACTGAGCACCAGTCCGGCCAGAGGATCTGTGGAGGCGCCCCCAGAGGCCCCGACCCCCCGCTCCTTGCGCTCCCGCTCCTGCCGCCTCTTTTCCCGCTCCTTGGCTCGTTCCTGCCGCCGCCGCCGCTTCTCCTCCCGCTCCCGCTGGCGCTCCTGGGCCGTCACTGGCTTCCGAGGCTCAGGAGCCTCCAAGGGTGCACTGGGACCATCTGCATGTAAGTTGGGCAGGGAAGGTAAGAGCCTGCAGCCTTGTCCAATCCTCCCTCTGCCCACCCTACATGTCTACAAGGCACCTCTGAGCCGACTCCTCAAAGACTTGAGCAGGGCAGCTTTGAGGGCCGCCTTGGTGTTGTCTGAGATGGCACCTTCCTTCTTCGGCGGGGCAGGCTCGCTGGCCGGCAGGGATGGCTGCAGGGTCAGATCAATGGTGTCAGGTGCAGGGCCAGGGCATGGTGGTGAGGCTGGTGGGGGCGATTCCATGGCACAGTCCCCACTGGGAGCCCAGGGACTGGGCATTTCAACATCTGGACAACCAGGTTCACTAGCCACAGGCTGCAGGGAAGGCTGGAAGCGAATCTGTTGGCGGATGCCCTCGCGCCTTGCATGGAAGTCCTCAATCTCGGCCACAATGGCCTCTTTGATTCGCTCCCGGGTGAGGGCTTCACGGTCAAAGGCAAAGTCAAAGGGTGGGGCACAGTCAGGCTCATCATCAGGGTCATGATACTTGGCCAGGAAGGGATGGCGAAGGGCAGCAGCTGCTGAGATACGGGCACTGGGCTCAAAACGCAGCATGCGGCCCAGCAGTGAGAGGGCCTGGCGGTCGGCACCTGGGTACACTGTCTCCCAGGGCACAGGCTGGCGTGGTGGCAAGCTCTGGATATAGGCCCTCACCCTCTCAGCCCCCACAGCCTGAATCACAGCCGGTGATGGAGTACCCAGCACCAACATGATCAGCTGTAGCTGGTGCACATAGTTTTTGCCTGGGAAGAGCTGGCGCCGGGCCAGCATCTCACCAAAGATGCAGCCCACAGACCAGAGGTCAATAGCCTGCGTGTACTCATGCAGAGAGAGCATGAGCTCGGGGGCACGGTACCAGCGTGTGGCCACATACTCGGTCATGAAGTACTGGTGCTCGGCGGGTGAAGTGCACAGGCCACGGGCCATACCAAAGTCACCGATCTTGAGCTCGCAGTTCTCATTCACTAATAGGTTGGAGGGCTTAAGGTCACGGTGGATGACCTGAGCTGAATGCATGTACTTAAGGCCCCGCAGCAGCTGATACAGAAAGTAGCGCACATGCTCCAACGTGAGCGGCTGTGAGGAGTGGATGATCTGATGCAGGTCACTCTCCATCAGGTCCAGGACCACGTAGCTAGAAGGGAAAGAGTGGGGAGAGAGTCGTGGGTTGACCCGACCACACTCTAGGGAGAAGCCTCATCCTTACCATGCCCTCCCAACTCCAGAGAGGTAATGACCTTACCCTGGGACCCCATAGAGGCTGACGGCATGGTATGGAGGAGCACCAGGTTCTAGATTCTCTAGAACTTTTCCCTGAACTTGGCTAAACCACTGTCTCTCCAGACTCAGTTTCCCATCAAATAAAAGATGGGATTGGCCTACACCAGGGCTGGCCAATAGGGTTTCGTTTTGAGGTTATCTCCATTGTTGGTAGTGGCTGCTGGAAGGACCATGAGGAATATTGTGCAGGCTTGTCCACTGACTATTGTAAAGTGTTCAGTATCATTAGTGATGCCTGCTCTGGGACTAGGAGGGTATAGTGGTAGTATAAAATGTCCTACGTTTGACATCCTATATGTCCCTGGCAACACTGTTCCTAGAATTGTGGGAATTTTCCCAGCCTGCCTCATTTTAGATTCAGCTGCATTTCCAAAACTTCAGCAATATGGTCCCAGCCTTCAGAAAAGGTTCCAACTCCGCCTCCCTCTCCCGTCAGCCCCTTACACAGATTTGAATTCACCATAGGGCACGGTGGGCCTCAGGATGTCTTTGATGGCGATGATGTTGTCGTGCTTGAAATGTTTGAGGATCTTCAGTTCCCTGAGGGTCCGCTTGGCATTGGTCACCACATCAAAAGCATTAGGGATCTTCTTGATGGCCACCTGCTGGCCTGAAGAGCAGGGAAAAGAGATACCAGAGGGTACCTTGGAGTAGCTGCAGAGTCGAACCTGGTCCCTTTCAACACCTCCCCTCTAGAATGCAAATAGCAAAAGCTACCACACACTGGGTACCTACTCTGTGCCAAGCCCTGCGCTAAGCAGTTTATGTACATTATCAGATTTTACTTTCACAACTACCCTCTGAAGCAGGTACTAATAGCTCAAAGTTATAGACGAGGAAACCTGGCTCAGTAGAGTTTGCACAGCTAGCCAGTGGTAGAGGCCGGACTCTAACGCCCATGCTCATTCTACCTCCCTACACTCTCTCAACCTCAGACCTCACCCATCCCACCATCGACGCCTTGCAGCCAGTCTCTGACTCCAGAACACATTTCTCTTTTAGACACCAAGGATTGGCTCTCCATTCTGGTCTAACTGGGACGGTCACTTTTCTAAGGAGGAAGCAGGCTGAAAGGATGGCAAATCCACCAGGCCAGAGTTTCAGAGAGTTGTGTCTGACACAGAGCCCAGTGAACAGAGGGCACCTTGTCAGTACTCGTTGAATCAAACCAGAATTCATACCCCAGCTTTCCTTTCCTGCTGTCCTAGATGGGGCGGGTTTCCCACTCCCCGGGGAACCAGTTTCCAGGTCTGTAAGAGGCAGATGAC